TGACTCTTTGCGGGAGAAGTTAATCATATGCCGTCTCTTGTTTCCAAAAAAAACAAAGCTGCGTTAAACAGAAAGCGTAACTCCTCCAGAGTTATCTGATTCTGGAAGCAATCCAAGGGCTTATCCGTTGTTTCGATTGTTTTGGTCAGGGAGAGTTCGCTGTGTATCGTGGCTGCGCACGATTCAGCTTCCTGAGAGTGCAAAGTTGACTTTCTATTGCAGGTAGCCGGATCGAGCGACTATATCATATAGCTCCCATAGGCACAATCGGAAAAAACAATTCAAAACAAGAGAGAACGCTATAGTCGGGTGCCCCGACTATCAGATACCCGTTACTCAGGTAAAGGGAGTGCGAGGGAGATGGAGATAGAAATTTCGATAGGTATTGATAAACACAATAAAACTGCATTTTTACTTTTCCTTTATTTAAATTTTTAAAATCGTATATAAGCGATTGTGGGCGTTAAAGGGGGCGTGGCACCATTTTGAAACAAACTTGCGCTGCGTAGGAACTCCTAGAATCTGCTTGGAAAATGCCAATCTTCTAGCTTTTAAAGTTTCCGAGATCTCAGCGTTCATACGGACAGACAGACGGACAGACGGACATGGCTATATCGACTCGGCTAGTGACCCTGATCAAGAATATATATACTTTATAGGGTCGGAAACGCTTCCTTCTAGCTGTTACATACTTTTGCACGAATACAATATACCCTTTTACTCTACGAGTAACGGGTATAAAAATTATAACATTGTTGTTTTTTCATTTTTTTTTTTGTTCTTTGGGATTAAATTAATTAAATTAAAATCGGATAAAATTTTATGTCACTGCCATAAAAACTACTTCTGTCCATCTGTCCGTCTGTTTCAATACCGTTTGCGAGCTCAGTTTAAAAGCTAGCGATCTGAAACTTTCACAATCATTCTAAAACATGTGTACGCAGATCAAGTTTGAAAACCGCCCCGATCTGATGTCTATATCCTATAGCTTCCATAGGAAAAATCGGATACACCTTGCAAGAATGGGAAATATTTCGCGCAGTGTAAAAGCTATTGACGAAAATCTTTCCAAATCTTATTTTTTATGCATACCTTGATCAGGGTAAAAGCGCTTGGCGACCGGACGTCTATATCCTATAGCTCCCATAGGAACAACAGGGTGGAATCGGTTAAAATTTAATGATTTTTATGATATTTCGCGCAGTATATAAGCTATTGACTTTGAATCTTTTAAAATCGTATTTTTTTATGCATACCTTGATCAGGTTAAAAGCTCTTATAGCTTCCGTAGGAAAACTTGTTATAGGCTGCGAAAATATCTCTTTTTTTTATTTTTACATGACATTTTTGCAGTATAAAAGCAATTGACACGAAACTCTGCAAATCTAGTTTATTTATGTATACCTTATTCCTTTCGCTACTTATTCAGTTTTAGCAATTTCGGCAAAGTTTGCAAGGGTATTAAAACTTAGGCTTGCCGAAGTTAGCTTCCGTCCTCGTTGGATTTATAATTCAAGATCATATTCTCTGGTTAACAAGAAAAATAAATAAAAATAGTTATAAGATATAAAATGGCAGTAACTAAGAAATCACTATAACAACTCGAAGAATGAAACAAATAAATTCGCAGAATCGGACTCATTGAAAGCCGTCGTAGCAGCAAGTTTTAGTCAAGCTGAAAACTCGGAAGATTAGATTTACCAAAAATTTCAACTGCGATTCATAGTCAAGTAACAAATGTTTTGAATTACTAATTCATATATTCTTGACCATTTTTAAAAATAATGCATTAAGATTAAATTTTTTTTTCCAATTTTTATACCCTTGCGACAGTATTATAATTTTGGTCAAAACTGTTCAACGCAGTGTAGGAGACATCTCCGACCCTATATAAAGTATATATTAGGTTGTTTGGTAATGACATACCGGTTTCTTTATTGATTTTTGACGACGATTTTAACATAGTTAGCATTGTCCGATTTAAGTGCTATATGTACCGTTGTCTTCGATGATTTTCTGCCATTTTGATGGTAACTTGTATATGCCTCTCCTAAAGAAGTCCTGGTCCCCACTGGCAAGAAACTCGATTTTTGTCCATCGAAAAAATTTTGCATGGCTAAAAACAGATGGTAATCGCTTGGGGCAATGTCCGGACTATAAGGTGGATGCATTAACACTTCCCAACCAAGCTGTATGGGGCCAAAGATGTATGGGGCCTGGCGTTGTCATGATGGAACACAACGCCTTTACGATTCACCATGGCTGGCCGCTTCTGTTCAAGTGCAATCTTCAATCGCTCCAGTTGTTCACAGTAGAGGTCAGAATTGATGGTTTGGCCATAGGGCAACACTTCATAATGGATAATTCCTCTGATATCCCACCATACACTCAGCAACACCTTCTGAGCCGTCAGTCCTGGCTTTGCCACCGTTTGAGACGACTCACCGTGCTTCGACCAGGATCTTTTACGCTTTATGTTGTCATATGTGATCCATTTTTTATCACCAGTGACTAACCGATCCAGAAATGAGTCGAGTTTATTACTGTGCAACAAAGATTCGCAGGTTGATACACGGTCGAAAAGGTTTTTTTGGGATAACTCATGAGGCACCCATACATACACCATAATATATCTCCGTCTGTCTGTTTCTACGCGATCTAGTGTCTCAGTTTTAAAGATATCGAATTAAAACTTTGCACACACCCTTCGTTCCTTTGCACGCAGTATATACGTCGGAACGGCCGGGATAGGCCGTCTATATCCAATGGCCGCCATATAACTGATTGATCGGAAATGCCATAACTTTGGTGTTTTTAAAGTTAGGAAGTTGGGATTTTTAATGATTATTAAGAATGCATCATTTGAATAGTTTTGGAGAATATAATTTACAGAATATTCTGCAAGGGTATATAAACTTGGGCTCCGCCCGAAGTTAGCTTTTCTTTCTTGTTAATCTTTTGGAATATGTATTTGCATTCCGTCTTTATCACGGTGCCCCATTTATAGTTATCAATATCTTTGACTAAGTTCTCTGAATTATTTCATTGTTACTAAGGCATGCGTTTCCCGATAGGAGCCATATTCCCAGTTTTAGCGGCGAACGCCAGTGTAGACTTCTTGCCTTTAATTTCAATAAAGTTATATTAGCTGCGATGTGCCTAAGCCAAGTAAACTGACCAGACTTAAAGATAAGTTACTTCATTTGTTTTTGCCATTGATGAAGTTCAGAAATGTCTGGGGTAATGCTCGTATCAAAATTACGAGATGAGCACTTAATTCTACTTAGAATGACAATATAATTAGAAAATGCCGTCAACACAAAAGTGGTCGAATGTTTGGGCGACAGCCAGAACAATCAGAACATCCAAAACTGCTGCAAAGCTCTAATATCGTCATTCAACTATATTTCGTATCGGAGGTTATTTTGTTTGTTTGTTCAATGTTTCCGTATTGGTGTATTGTGATGGCATTATGGGCCGGTGTTGCTTGATGATAATATGATTATATAAGGGGAGATGAAATCATGGCCGGACGTTTTTTTTTCTCTTGAGAATTTATGACCTTGTAACATAACTTCTCCTGATTGAAATACAATAGGCGGTGTAGGTTCAGAAATATTGTTTATTGAAAGCATGACGGCGCTTATCTTTTTATATCCCTTATATAAGTATTTAACACTAATAATAAGAAGAAGCAAACTGAACGATTTTTCCGTTCATTGAAATAGTAGTGCTTAATGTAAAACGAAATTTGTAAGTTTTATAATGTATTAATTAAATTTCTTGATTTTTTTAAGTGGGTGGAGAGAAAGCATGCTCTTCCGAAATAAGAAGTTTAATTTCGAAGCTTAAAATAAACGAACAACTTCCAAGGAAATTTAAAAAATTGTTGGATGTTCAGGAACCATTATTTTCAACGCCAAACTTCTCACCACGATTTTCGGTGTTTGGTTTATAGTGATAAACATCCAACAATTTTTTAAATTTATTATAAACCGAAGACCGAAAATCGTGGTCAGAAGTTTAAATCTACAAATTTGATGATGCATCCATTTGCGTCCACAGGAGAGATAGAAGAACTAAGTTTGACAATTAGTCTTGAAACACTTCGCAGCCATTGTTAAACTATTTGGCAAATCTCAACTTTGGCAAGTGGTTCAGCAAGTATGAAATGAAATTCCTGTAAAGCGGTGCCAGGACCTTATCCATTCTATGCCACGCTGTTGCAACTCCGTGTTGCACAATAAACGCTATACTACTAAGTATTAGCTTAAAGATAATAGTAGATCAACATTTATTTAGATATTTTTAAGTAAAAGATTAAGTTTTTCAATTTTATGTAGCCACCTACTATTTGCATGAACGGCCAAATTTTGTGATTTTTCTGTTAAAAAGCTCTAGAGTGCAAACGTTTATAAACTAGTATTGAAAAATCATTTGAACTATTAATTATAAATATATATATTGTTATTTTCACGATTACGTGATGCGCCCAAGTGCACTACTATTTTCATGACCGCAACTGTATATTTGCTGCACTTTGAATACAAATTTCTGTTTTCAACCTAATAATAACATTTTTACTTCTACACAAATCTAATTAAATAATAATGATGGGTATTTAATAACTTATTCACTTTTACTAACAATTTTTAATGTTAAGGTTGACATCGTCGTCGCATTCGAAACCGCGCAATTACCCCTGTGTTTATCCAAAACCACAGAAGTAATACCAATTTGTCCATATCTTTGTACAAGAAATAATGTACAATTTTTTGAAATTCCCTCAGGACTTTTATATTCTCCCTATCAGTTTTAAACTGTGAGTTTAGATTGGGTAAAAATGGACAGTCTGATTTTGACTTGCCTGGTGAAACTGAAAACTATAATAAATTTTTCAAGGGTATAAAGGTTGTAGACCTAAAAGAACCGGTTAAGTTTTTATGAACTCAAAACCAATCGCTTTGTGGTATTTTATGGTTTTTTTCTTTTTATTTTAGTTCCTGCTGAAGACATTTGGCGTGGAGTAACAGCGGTTAGCAATGCTGGAAAGAAAAGAGGCCGTGGAAAAGGAAGTGGAAAGAAAGTAGCAAAGGATCTTAACAAAGGACAAACTATCGGTCTTGGAAAAAGCAGTCGCATATGGCCTGGATTAAATTCACCTGTCATACGTGGAAACGAACTCATTCACCAGAAAAAACTTGAAGAAAATATAGATATAGAGAATGGAATTATGAAATTTCGAGATTCAATGGGAACTTTCAGGTTAATGAAGTTAAATCCAATAGATCGAGGTTGGTCTGGAAGTAAAATGCCTGGACGAAGTATTGGACCGCCTGACACTGTTGGTGAAGAAGAGTTTATTTCATTTGATACCCGAGTCTTGGAAAACAAAATTGTTTTTATTATGAAAGGGAATATGGGAAGAAAGCGAAGATATTCTGTATTGTCGGTCACAGGAAATGGTAAAGGATTGGCAGGATTTGCTACTGTTAAAGCCGCAGAAGTACGAACGGCTCTTCGAAAGTCTAAGAACCGAGCAGGACAAAAACTAATCAATATTAGCCTTTGTGAAAATAGAACTATTTTCCATGATTTTCGTACAGATTTTGGAAAAACACAAATTTATTGTTTTCAAAAACCTGATGGATATGGCTTAGTATGTCATCGGGCCATACAAACAATTTGTAAAATTATAGGTATAAGGGATTTGTATGCCAAAATTGAAGGGTCAACGAACCTTCAGCATATTGTTAAGGCATTTTTTATTGGTTTAATGAGCCAAAGGTCTTATGAAAACATTGCTAATGAAACCAATATTAACATTGTTCAACAGCAAAAGACTAGGAATGGATACACAGAAGTAAAAGGAATTCCATCTTACAATTCAACCCTAAAACATATTAACCAAGTCGTTGACTATATGCATTTCACCTTAGGAAATAAAATTGTTTTAAAACAAAAAAACATCTTACCATTTTTTGTTTGTACAAAAGGACACGAACTGCACCAAATTAAAGCAGAGCGATTTAGAAACCAATCTAATGTTCGACTACACAAGCTAGTAAATTCATATGTTTAACTCATAAAATCCTCAATAAAAATATATATGCAAAGTTTAAAAAAATATTTTTATTTTTGTAATTTAAGTTTAGATTTAAAGCTTTGTTTATTACCAAAAGAAGCTATTACAATGGAAAAATTTTTTGGTTCACTGCTGGTTCTTTTGTTCTATAAAATCCATTAATACATAAAATAGTAACAAAGAGCGGTTACAAATATAAATAGTTAAAAAATTAATAATGGTTTCCCAATGTAAATCGTAAGTGTAGTAAACCGGTTACAATAAATTTTGCAAAATAGGAAAACCGGAAAGAGCTGTAGGGGTCGAGATAAAAATCTCTCTTGAACATCGGCTGGGGAATTTTATTTCTATTTATTATGTTCCTAGCCATTTTGACATCAAAAGTCCCTTTCGTTAGGTCCAGCTATAATCTCGTTGAAAGGGACTGTTGCTTTTATTCCTTTGATAACCACTTGGCCACTGATCGATAATCTTGTTCCTTATTTGTATTTTTGTTTCATTTATATTACAATTTTTACGGACATGACAAGACCGAATTGATCAGTTTTTTTTAAACCAATTCAGCACAATTTGCGTCACGAAGACTTATATATTCTGCCGGCAATAGAAAGATTCATCTTGATAATTTTCAAACTATGAGTTAAGTTTGGGTAGAAATGGAGTCTGATTTTGACTTCGGTGCTGATGGCTGCGCTGCAAACTTTTGACTAAGACTATCATATAATTTGATAAGGTATAAAGGTTGTACAAACAAAAAAGGCAGATCTGGTTTTTATGAACTGAAAATCGCTTTATGGTAAGCTTATTTCTTGCTGAAGACATTTGGCATGGATTAATTGCGGCTTGCAATGATGGAAAGAAAAGAGGAAAGGAAGTAGAAAGAAAGTGGCAATGGATCAAAGAACAGACTTTCGGCATTGGGGAAAGCAGTCGCATATGGTCGGGACTGAATTTACCTGTCATAGTGAAAATATACTAATTCACCAGCTTTCTACTGATGTAAATTAAGACATAGAAATTAAAATTATCAAATTTCGAGATTTAATCAGGCTGTTAAGTTAATGAAGTTAAATCCAATAGATCGAGGTCTGAAAGTAAAATGGCTGAACGAAGTATTGGACCGCCTGAAACATTTGTCGAGAAAGAATTTATTTCATTTAATTTTATCATGATAATATGAGAAGAAAAAGAAGGTCGGACACATATAATGGTAAAGGTTCGGCAGGATTAGCTAATGTTAACGCGCCAGACTTACGAATCTAGCAGGAAAAAAATTAATCAACATTAGCCCTTGTGAAAATAGGACTATTTTCCATGATTTTCCTACAGATTTTGGAAAAACACAAATTTATTGTTTTCAAAAACCTGATGGATTTGGCTTAGTTTGCCATCGGGTCTTACAAACAATTTGTAAACTTAAAGGATTTGCTTGCCAAAATTAAAGGAACAACGTTCGTTTAGCACATAATAAAGCCATTTTTTATTGGTATACGGAGATCATTGCTAATGAATACAAACTAGGAATGGATACCGGAAGTAAAAGGAGTCCCATCTTAGAATTTAGCTCTCGGTCATATTATCCAAGTTGACTATATGCATTTTACATTAGAAAGTAAAATTGTGTTAAAACAAGACGAAGCACGGTCTTGGTCACCCTGTCTTCTTAGTCTTACTCCTACTCCTACGGCGAGGAGTTGTTAGTGTAAAACCCCCACCATCAGATTCAAACCTTGGCGCATCAGCAACATGCTGCGGTAAAACTTCTGCAATCGCACCAAAAGTAATAACAATAACTACTCTTATCGCGGAATCGACTGCGATGTCGTCAACTGCAGCTCCAAATACAACGGCAACAAAAACTATGACAACAAAACCAAAACAAACCAATAATTAAGCGTAAGCTTAGCCCGCAGAACAACGCGGTGGGTAATTAGCCAAAAATAAACCGTGTCCAATGAGACAACTAATTACAAGGGAGATACAACAACAACAGATTTGCCCTCCTAGCTGGAATTCAACCAGAACTGGGTCAAGAGACCCAACCGAAACCAAAACCACTAATTTACATAAGAAAGATTAGCACGAACGCCCTGGTCAACAAAATTGTTGCGCTAGTCGGGGACGGAAGTTTTCATGTTGTCCCGAAACCAAACTTCAGACCAAATCTGAAGAACATTTCCGAGCTGTGTCCAAATACGTGGAAAAAGCTAAGAAAAACTACTACACAAAGCAACTAAAAAGCAGCAAGGGCTTGTAAGTTGTACTAAAAGGGATTGAGCCCGACGTAACCCCCAATGAAGTTATCGATGCCCTCAAAGAAAATGGGTTTTCTGCAAAAAACGTTAGTAACATCATTAACAGGAACAAAAAGCCGCAACCACTTTTCAAAGTAGAGCTGGAGCCAGATAGCAGAGTCTTGAAGAAAAATGAAGTGCACCCCATCTATAACCTGCAATACCTATTGCACCGAAAAATTAAGGTGGAAGAACTACATAAAAGGAACGGCCCAGTTCAATGTACAAACTGTCAGGACTATGGACACACCAGAGCATACTGCACACTTCGATCAGTATGTGTAGTCTGTGGAGACTTTCAAAATTCGGCCAATTGCCTTGCCAACAAGGAAGACCCCCAAAAGAAGAAATGTGGAAACTGCGGAGGAAATCACACGGCAAACTACAGGGGCTGTGTGGTCTACAAGGAGTTGATAGACCGCATGCGACGAGTGACAAACCACTCAAAACGTGTACACTTACTCAAAAACGAAGCCGGAAGTATTTTTCGGGACGGCTGCAATATCCTCATTTGGTCAGCTAAATACCCAGAAGGGATTTTCATAAGCCGAGGACCTTCGAAGAAAACCCACTCCAGTCTTACCTAGGAAACGTTTAGCAGGCCCTAGGATAGTCACAAATACCACTGGAAGCTATGATGGTTACTTATGTCATTCATGAAAACGACCATGCAAACACTGGTTTAAAACCAGAACATGGTGTTACAGTTGCTTGCAGTCTCGACTTATGTGTCAGGCTAACCGGTTGTGTTTATTTCAGAGCTCCCGTATTTAAAAAAAAAAAAAAAAAAAAAAAGTTTTATACAAAATTCTGTTTTCCTGTGTCTTTACGATTTTTCTTTTGACTTTCTTAACAAAACATTTGCCGGCCTTGCCTTCGGTTGGCAGGCCGGCTGCTGCGGTTAACTTTCTTTTTCTTTGTTTTCTTAGTTCATTACGCAAGTACAATGTCAGATGCTGGTGCAGTTCCCAAAAAGATGTCTTCCAATTTCAAGCCATCTCGACGAAAGTTTGTCGGGAAACCAATTATGACTCTCATGTGGCTAAGCACTCGGTCTTTGCTAAGGACCAAGTTACGCGACCACCAGTCAATACAGATGAAGCTGCTAAAGTAGCTGTTATGAATGCCTCTAGGAATGCCAAGGCGACTGCCTTTGATGCCAATAGGTGCCTCTCTGATACTTCGGATGAATTTGATGATTCCAATTATTCAGACACCTCATCTGTCCCGACTATGACCATTTTTACCCCCAAGTGGATTAGTAAAAATGCTGCCGATGATGAACGCTTTACTCAGGTAAATAACCTAAGGAAAAGACGAAATCTTGACATACTCGGAGGTAGTAATATCAACAAATCATCGCTGCCAAACCCTGTTGGCGACCATAAACGTCCTCAAGCTCCATCCTCTGGCATGACCATACAATCACATTCTTCAAGTCAAGAAGGCTCTACCTACTTAGGAAACAACAATAGCTTTGCTATTTTGTCTGACGATGATGATGATGATACAATGACTTCCACTCATAATAATGAATCAATCAGCACCTCTAAACTTGGTCATGGATTGTCTGAGCCTGTTGAAGCTAACTTGCATTCGGTGTCCCCACGCAATGCCTCTTCTCAAGCTAAAACCAAGAAACGTGATCCCCGTCCGCCACCCTTCCTTTTGAGGGGAATCACTGATTTTAGGCAACTAATTTCATTACTATCTTCTGTGACCAATGGTTTTCGCCTCAAGACAACTGGTAAATCTTCCTGTAGGATTACTGTGGATGACGGCAATGTTTACCGTGTAGTCCAGAAGCTTTTCAAGGATAATGGAATTCCTGTCAGCACTTTTCAGTTTAAAAATGAACGAGCCTTTCGAGTCGTCATCAAGGGACTTCACGCTTCCACTGAAATAGCCGAAATCACTGCAAAACTGAAAGCTCTGGGACACAACCCTCGGAATGTATTCAACCCCCCTGGTGAAAATGGGAAGGCGAACCGGGATATATTCTTTGTGGAGCTGGAACCAGCTAGAAACAACAAAAATGTGTATGATATCCAGACAATTGACTACCAGGTGGTTAAAGTAGAACCGCAGCTTCAGAGAAAGGGTCCTTTAAGGTGTTTCAGATGTCAAGAATTTGGACATTCTAAAAATTTTTGTTCACTCTTGCCAAAGTGTGCCAGATGCGCTGGTGACCATGAAACAAAAGACAAGGAGCGGTGCTTGGCCATAAATGAGGAACAACTCAAGTGCATTAACTGTGGTTCTAATCATAGTGCGTCTTCCCGTCGATGTCCTGCCTATTTAGAGGCTATTGAAAGACGTAAGCCCACTGGTTCTGTAGGGCGTAGACCCACTGAAAAACGTACTTTTAAGCCTGCCATGCCCCCGGCTCAAAATGCTTGGTTTTCTACGCGTCTTCCTGCATCCTTAAGTCAGACTTCGCCAACGGTAAATTCACATCCAAGTGAAAAGACCTCCTTGATTGAACAACCTTCTCAGGACAGGCTTCTGGAATTTATTAATGGATTAAGGAAGCAACAAGAGGCTGCTGCGATAGCCCAAGCGGCTGCAATTGATAAGTTGTTGTTACGCTTTGATCAAATGATGTCAGTAATGACGACCACACTACAAATGTTACAGAGCGTGATTTCTAAGCACGCCAATCTATCAGGGTCAACGCAATGCGATGACTAATTACGGTATAAATATCGTTATTTGGAACGCCAACAACTTAGTTGGCAAATCACTCGA